GTTAGGTATATTTGGTATCTAAGTCTCTGTCCACGTTGTGGACTAGTACGTGTGAGAAAGCACACGTGGTTCTGAACGTTCTAGCAGGGAATGCTTCATAACATCGTCCAGGTATACCATAACTTTTCCAGTGAGGATGAGATCATGGAAGATGTCATTCATCATCATTTGAAATGTTGATGGTGAATTAGTGAGTCCGAAGAACATCACTAGAGGTTCGAACAGGCCTCGGTTCGTGACGAATGCGGCCTTTTCCTCGTCTCCTTCTTTGATCCATATGTTATTATAGCCCCACCGGATGTTGAGCTTAGAGTAGTACCGGGCTCCCTTAAGCCAGTCAAACAAATCATTGATTAGAGGAAGCGGATATTTATTTTTCTTCGTTACTTCATTGAGCTGTCTATAGTCCTGTATCGGCCTCAGCTTGCCATCCTTTTTCTTGACAAAGAAGAAGGGGGCGCCCCAGGGGGATTTAGACTGTCTGATGCGACCAGTCTTCAGGTTTTCTTCGAGGAATATATCCAGAGCCTCTTGTTCTTTTATGCTCATTGGATACACCTTTCCACAGAAGGGTTTCGCGCCGTCTACTAATTCTATGGCATGATCCCATACTCTGCGTTCAGGGAGCTGATCGAACTCAGCTTCCTCGAAGACTTCCTTATAATCCCAGTATTCTTCTGGAACAACCTCTTGCATGCTCTTAGCTTTGGTACTTTTGCCTTGAGCGATGGCTAGGTCAGTGGCCTTGGTGGCTCGTATATGTTCATATTCGGAAAACTGTTTCTGAATGTAATCGCTGTCCAAAGCCAGCACCTTATCCCCATCTTCCAACTTAAGCTCCCCGCAGTTACAACGCGTAAAGCGAAGCGTGCGTTTAGCTCAGTCAATGTCAGGGTTGTGGTCTTCCAACCAATCGAACTCGAGGAACATATCGTGGTCCGAAAGGGTGGTCACATTGAATGATCGGCGCTCTCTATGGCCTTGGATAACTATATCTAATAGTACATAGTGGGTCATATCGCCATCTCGGTTGGGGGTCCCATCTGCATTGAACACGCGGAGTGGTTGATCGAACAGTATCTTAGGTATCTGGAACTTAGACACGAATTGTTCGTCGATACAACACCCAGTGCAACCTGAATCGAGAAGGGCTTTGGCAGGTATATTCCTATCCCCAACTTCTATTGTTACGGGTATATCGATCTGGCGATGTCGTCGTACTGCTCGGACGTTGAATTGTCCTCGCAGTTTAGTACCGGTCGATCCGAAGCCAGCAGTCCCTCTTGCTGTTTCTGCTATTTCCGTCACGACTTCGGTGATAGGGGGTATCGTTTCGTTCCAAGATTAGCTGGGTGACTCGGTCCCCATACTCAATCTGGAACGGGGTATCAAGGGTATTAATTAGGAGTATTTTGACTCGTCCGACATAGTCTGAGTCTATTACTCCAGCTCCTACATCTATCCCATGTTTTACAGCCAAGCCTGAGCACGGAGCGATGTGTCCGTAGCATCCGCTGGGTATCATCAACTTCAGGCCGGTATCTACGAGGAGACGGGAGCATCCGGAAATGACCACTTCCTCCGCTGAATGCAGATCGTACCCTGCTGCGCCTTCCGTTTGGTGGGTTGGTGTGATGGCTTGCGGGTGGTCTAAAAATACACGCAAAGTGGTTTTCTGTGCCTTCTTCTTCGGTGTACGCCTTGCCGATGTCGAAGCTTCCACTTGCAAACTGTCCGTGTTCTGAACTGAAGAAACGTTAGAAATTGAGCTATTCACGGAATTAAGCACCGATGCTTCTTGATCCGGCCGAGCTCGATTAGGCACCTCTAAGGTCCCATCATCCCGAGACCCCATTTTCGCTCCTACTACTGTTACATTAAAGTGGGCATCACTACTTGTGCCCATATTGTCCGACGTAGTGCTGGTGGTACAGTTGAGGGATGAAAGAATAGAAAAACGAGATCCGCTAGGGTGTGGTGGTGTGCTGTCGTTCGCATCAGGGATACTGAATTTTCCCACACCTGAGCTTAGACCCTTTTGCCCACATCCCTCCGAGGTGTTTTCAGGTATGGCTTGATGGCGCTTCTCAGGCTTTGCCTCCACCACCATCAGCTTGACTCTCCTCGGGGACCTACCTTTTGGTGACCCGTCTAAACCATGGCCCTTCTCAGGTCTCGTGACCTCCGTGACCATGGAATGGCCGTTAATGGTCGGGGGTGACCCGTGTAAACCAGGGCGCTTCTCAGGCTTTTGGGCCTCCACCACCGAGGAATGCACGTTACTGGTCGGAGAAATGGAATTGTCCGAATCGAGTCGAGAGTCCTGCAAGACTTGCATACTTAAGCCTTGCCGAATTGAAAACCTGCCTGGTTGCGCAGAGCAGGGTTGGCCGCAATGGCCACCTTGAACGCTCGTACGGCCTCAGTTTCTTCTACCGTATTGGCCCGAGCTGCAGGCTAGGCATCCTTTTTGCGCCAGCACTGCCCCTTTCCATCATAGTAATGGGTGTGCCATATATCCGTGCACGACCCCTTCTCTGACCTTTCCTTTCCACAGGTACCACACTTCCGGTGCTTGTCGCGTTCGTTTTTGACGCCTACCGTTTCCTTGTGTGGCACCGCCTTCCCTGCCTCATCAATGTTCCTGATGGGCGCCCTTCCCGTTGTCCGGACTGCATTTGTCGTTACCGTTGTCGAACCTTCCTCCTGGTGGACTTGCCGGGTCTTGGAGTCTTTGGCTTTCCCCTTGCCCTTTTGGTCCTCAAAGGTGGATGCCCACTGCTGCTGCTGTTGAAGGTCTAACTGGGCCACAACCTGCTTCCACAGGCTGTAGCTATTGACATCCCGGCTAATACCTTCGGACGCCCATACTCTGTCACAGAGCTCCTTTCGCATGGCAGTCCTAAGCAGTTGGAGCAGCAGCTGCTCATCCTTGTACCCTGAGACCTTGACCCAATGTTCCCATTCAGCTTCAAACTCTTTCCAAGGCTTATACCTTTGCTGCATGCTTCGCAGCATCCGTTGACCTTCCAACTCCGGGTTCGTGGGGTAATACATCTTTTTAAAGTCCGCAATGAAGTCCTGGAGCGTGGCGTAGACCGGGGGGCCTCCCATCATCCTTTCCAACAGGGAGGCTTTCCAGTGGTCGATTTGAGGTCCATGTATGTAAGACATTGCCCAGCGAATTTTACTTTGTTCGTCTTCGAACTCGCTGGGCTTCATGACGATGTAGTTCATTACGTCGACAAGCCATGCCTTTGCCTTGGATTTTGTGCCATCGAATGGCTCCGAGAGGTTGACCTTTGGTCCTCGGAACGATTTCCTGTGTACTTCGTCCGAGGATGCCGGTGGCGGAGCTGCCGAGCGACGATCCCGTTCTGGTGGTGGGACTGGTCGCTCTGGCGGGAATGCGTAGTGTGCCTCTGCCAACTCGTCATCTTGGTCTCCCTCGTAGGAGTGTGCCGGGGATATTGAGGGCATCTGCACCCTAAAGGGCAGCTGCTCAGGGTTTGCCTGGCGTGCCGGTTTGAGCCCACTAGGGTCGGCGGGTCCACTAACTCCTTTTACCCAATCCCGAATGTCCTGTTGACCCGGATCTTGTCTCCTTTTTCCTTTATTGACCGGTTTCTTTGGCGATCGAATCGGGGAAGGTGGTGGCGGACACGTCATGGCTTCCAGGAGGCTGATTCGGGTTTTCTGGGTCTCGTTGATGCCTTCTAGACCCTTTACCCTTTCCTCACTGGACTTGAGCGCTGTCTTGAGGGATTCCAGTTCCATTGTTAGTTTGTGGATCTGGTTGCCTCACTCTGTTTGTGCGGCCGTGTGCTCACTGATCTGTCTCATGAGACGATCTCGGGTTGCTTCGGCAGCCAGGCGTCCTTCGCGTGCCTCGGTCACCTCTCTTTGCGCCGTGTCGAGTCGATTGCGCAGCCGATTGTAATCATTCTGGAGGTGTCCATATGCACGCCACATGTCCACAGGTTGAGTCCAGAATCCGGGGGTGTCTTCCATGAGTGGGGGGAGACCAGGTCATGCCAAGTAGTAACTCTGCCTATTGTCGGGGAGCCTGTATCGCTCATATCCTGGCGGAGTTCCTGAAGCGTGACTTGACCAGACGTAGTCCTGCCCCCTTGCTGCTCCCTCGTGTCTTGCTACCACATCCACCGGTTGAGTTCGATACCATTGTCGGTCCTCCTCGGAGTGATCGCGAGCTCGGATGTCGTACTCCCATTGATGGAAGCGTCTCCCTGTCCTTTGTTCGTTTGGGTACAGGGCGGTGAACTCGTCCACTAGTCGTGCCGAAGGCCCCCTTCTTCTGGGAAGCGCTTCCAGCATTGCTGGTGTCATGAAGTACCGTGGAGTGGGAGCGAGGATGTTGGTGTCATTAAATGACGATGGGGTGGATGCCCTGGGTTCCGGGCCTTCGGGATTCAGGTGCCCTTCTACGGAATGTTCAGATTGTGCGATTTCGGCCATCTTTGGTGTTGATACCTGGTCAGGGTTTTGGCGACCTGTTCAGAAAGGTTCTTCTTCGTCGGAAGAGATACCGTATTCTTCGTCAAACAGGAGGTGGTATAACTCCTGATCGTCTTCTACCGGTTGTCGTGGTCTGGGGAATTCCCGGACTATGCGGTGTGGCTGGTATTCGAGCCTTTCATAGTAGTCGATGATGACCTGGTAGCGGTATAGAATGAAACGAGCTTGGGCGACGTGGGGCTGGTATATGAAGTCTGCCCGGAATATGACGCTGATATGCTCATAGACTTGATCCCACTCTACCGGTCCTGGAGATATGGTGTAGATGGATGTATATTCTGCCAACGAGAACCTTTGCATTCGATGTTGAAATCTACTCGCGAGCTTGTCGAGCTGTTCTTCACCAGGGCCTCGTAATGACCCAGACACAGCTTTAGAGTCCTGCTACTCCTAGTAGGTCTAGTTACTACGGAGTCCTGAGTGGCGCGGTTCGCAGTCGCAGAGGGGTCTTTGTGGTCTTTGATTATTTCACCACCAGTGTCCGACTACCTCTGAAGGGATGTAACCTTGGTCCACCTGCCGTTCCAGCAGAGCTTTCTGAGAGTTCGTCCCACGCCAAACGACTATTTGTCTACGTATGTGATGGTAACTAAACCTCTAAGTAAGTCAGAGCTGCGCAGGGGTTGAATACGCGTCTGGTGCCTCTTTAGCACTGAGCAAGTAGTTTTATTCCCTCACTACTCGAGGTTATGCAGGTCTCGCCGAAGCGGTCCAGAAGGGTTGCTGATTTACAGCTTCAGGGCCTTTTCAAAGGTGTCCCGTACCTCCCGCAAGTTCTCCCTTGTCTGCAGTTGTCACGTCTGCTACCCCTAGACCTGGTGGCTAGGATGGTGACATTAGAGGATAAATCCTCCGATAGCATGGCAGCTAGGCCGAGGATAGTTTATATGGACTAGCAGAACTGAACGTCAGATTACCCCGCTGGTCAGTCCAATACAGGAGCTGCCTCGTTGCTGCGGCGTACTCGATATCAGTACCCTTTTAAGGAGCACTGCGTCCTTTTCCCCTAGAGGTGCTGACATCAACAGGCACTCCTGGCCCTTCTTGACAGCCCTAATGCGGTTTTAACCACTAGATTTATGTAGGAAATCCCCTTACGCCTGGGGTCGTGGCAATGTTTGGGACTGTAGTATGTCGCCCACTTTCGCAGGAGGCTGGTTTAGGGCCTGTGTATCCTGACTAACAATCCGCGTATTCGCTTCACCGAAGAGGTTCAGCAGGGCGCAGCTAAGCCCGAGGAAAGTGGAGAGAAGCCCTGACTGGGCACGATGAGGATGGAGTTGATCGACAGTGAGAATACAGTCTGAGGCGTCGACCGGTGCCCACAGACTAAAGAGAGAAGTTTCGAGTTATGTGATGGATCTCAGGAACTCCTGGGTCCGCTCTCGCCTAACCCATCAGGGTTCTTTAGCTTAAGTGGAGGAGTAAAGACCAACTCGAAACTGAGGGGTAGGCCTCAGCTCGAGCGAATATATATACAAGAGGGGCCAGACCCCTGGTACCGGGTGTAAGACCCTGCGTACCCTAGGTTTGTAATAATACATCATTATGGCATGATATGGCGTGCTCAGGCCTAGTGGAGTCCGTCTAAGTCTAGGGGTGTCTGTGGAGTCCAAACCTATGATGTCACTATGACATAGGGTCACGTGACTGGTACATGTCCGGGGGATGTCCGAGTGGCGTGGGTATACTAAGATATACACGTGGAGACGTAGTGGTACATTCTATATACGGTAACTAGGTGGATAAATAATGGTCCGTGGGCGCTTGCGACTTGTGGCGTGGAAAAACCATGACAGCCTTCTGATACGTCACCATTATGTGCAAGTGCAAATTCAACTTTGCTCAGTGTCCTGAATGAGGCTGATGAAAGATATGTATCGATCTCCTCGTGGTGAGTAGGCTCATCAGATTCGAGAAAGGTCTTCATTTCCTCCTCCACTGCATTGATTTTAGTGCTGTGTGAAGACCACTGAAACATAATCACAATTTCTCGGGGCTGGCCTGGCTTTATTGAAAGTAAGACTGGACACAGTGCATCCAGGTCAGAAACTCCCCAATAAATCAAAAAGTTTAGCCATAGTCTCTGCAGTGAGGTATTGTGAGTGAAGGACAACATAGAATCTGCAGAGACTCCAGTTAGCAGTGAAAGTAGAGTGCACACCTGCGGCAGACACCTCTGTATGTGCCTGTGGTGGTGCTGAGTAGTGAAGTTGCAATCGCAATTCTGAGAGTGAGCTAGATGCAACATCCAATAGTCGCTGACATTCCCAGTAGTGTTGTGATCCAGTCACATGAATTAAATCATCGATGATGAGTCTCTGCAAGTGACTCGAGATGCAAGGATGAGCCAGGAAGTCGATGAGTTTCTGAGGTCTCCTGAGATGGCCTCCCATGAGTGACAAGGACGTGATGTTGTTGCAGTTGTGATATGTTCCAAATGCATCCTGGTGGAAGCAGTCATGTGTGAATCTCAGATAGTCGCATCTGAGCTCGATCAGGCCTGGCAGGGCGCATACGAGTCGCGCGAGGACAGTGATCGACGGGAACATGACAATATGGAGATGGAGGCGAGTGACGGAGAAGGCGGAGAGGTGCAGGAAGATGTCGCCGTGCATCGTCGACAGCTTCCACTCTGAGTTCTGTATTGTGAGCCGCTCCAGCCGGGGCAGCTTGCGAGCGAGCATAATCGCTGCCGTCGACAGCGCTGACAGATCTGTCTCCTGATATTTACCCACTATAGTCATATCATACGGCCGCTTCGACAGCTCTGGCCTCCGCTTCAGCTTCTTCGCATAGGCCATGACAGTCTTGACAGTCTTGATCCTAATTAACCTGCGCAAGTGGAAGAGACTTGGAGGATACCACGCTCGGCAGACGAGCATGCATCGCCGCAAAGCACGCTGGTCGTCCCATAGATGGTTGATCACATTCTCCCATACCTCGATCGGAAGCTGTGGCACAGTTCTCAATCGCTACTGGTGTCACCTCGAGTTCCACCTCGCGATTTGCCACTGGTTCCACCTCTGGTTCCACTACAGGTTCCACCTCGAGTTCTACCTCTGGTTCCACCACTGCTTCCACCTCAGGTTCCACCTCGAGTTCCATCACTGGTTCCATCACTGGTTCCACCTCGGACGAGACCGTACGGCCTGCCTTACCCTTGCCCTTCACCTAACGTAGCGCAGCACGTAAATGGTCACTGGTCAGGAACACATAGTACATGAGATTTGTCCACTCAAGTACTCACGATTCGTATAAGCCATTGTGAGTTGATATTCCATACGTTCTTCGTCCTGTCCACGAGACGTTTCAGCTTCCGTTTTATGGAGTCCATATTGTTGGAGTAGACAGCGCGCAGGATGTTTACAGGTACTTTCCAAGCCCGCTCTTGCAATATATTTATCCATCTCATCGCGCGCATTGCAACGTGGTTTCCTACAATATGTTCAGTTCACACGCACACACAACCATTCATGAATAATCAGGATGCTATTTGCAGGTGCTATACGTACGCCGTCTGTTCGTTGATAATGCACAATGCAGCGGCATTTTCACCCGTCGACGAGGCAGAATCATGGTGGTAAAACATGCGGCGCGACATGTGATACTACAGCGCGGTCATTCTCCGAGTTTGTATGCGTCCTTAAGGCCTTAGGCCTTAGGCCTTATGCATTAATGCATTATGGCTCACGCGTACTATAGCATGCTGTAACCTTTCGACGGTAGGTTCAGTCACGCGTCACAGCCACCCTTGAACTGGCCTTTCAGTTCAGACGTCACGCGTCACCGGCCGGTCTGAACTAAGGGTCAGTTCAAAGGTCACACCGTTCCGGAGCTCTTTTCGCGGGTGTTTATATATTTTTCTCTATCAGAACGATTCCTACACCACACAATTAAGCGCCTGAACTGAACTGAACTTTTGTCCCAGGTCACAGGGGGTCTTGAACTAAATCTGGCCCAGTTCAAGGGTCACGCGTCGCACCCCATGAACCTACTATGGTCGAAAGGTTACAGTATATGCAGAATCATGATTTCACGCATCTTGCAGACGGATGTGCTGCACCACAACAAACATCGCAGCTATGCCCGCTGCCAAGGGACAAAGGGAGTGTTGACTTTCCCGGCCAGCCCGTTGCGCGGCCAGGAGTTCGGGAGTCGCCCGCTCTCTAGAAGATGGCTCCACGGGGCCAAACCGATGGCCTGTCCCATTGTAGCCGCGCCCTATTATATACACGATCGCTACTACTCTCCCACGCTGGTGGCGCAGGTCGCACCGGGGCCTCTCGCATCTGCGCTCCGTGCCCAGATTCCAACAGGGAGGGCAAAGGGTAAGGCTGCAGTAGCTCCGCGGTGCCGTGATACGGTTATCGGATGGATGGTATCAGATCACATACCGTACTATTGAGGTCTATACCAGTTGACTCGCGATAACAGCATCACAGCTTCATTATGAATGCGGGCCAGGCCTATAGGCCGCAAGATGGCAGGTGGGCGACACAGCTGTCAGGATGTCCGTACAATTTCTGTGCTCCCCTCGGGGCCAGTCCGTATATCATCTATACTGAATTTGATGGAAGCTTCTGTTGATACAGCAATTTTAAGCCGCATCTAGTACCCTGCTCGAGAGTCAAAGTCGGTTCAAGGCTTACAGCGTGCCCAAACCTGCGTATGTAACACTGCGATCGGCAATGGGCATCAGTTTCAATGATGGCATCAGCCGGTGTAGTACCGGCGAGCGCCGAGGACCCGCGTGAGCCCGCGTGCCAGCGAGCGTTCCACCATGTATGCAGCGTCTGCAGCGGCCTCCAGCCTTCTGACGAGGCATGCTTCGTGCCTTTTCTCATATGGACGACTCGTGGATTATCGTTCATGGACACTCAATCAGTCATGAACATGGCGAAATACGAAGTCTTCGCCTCACCCCGCCACCGGCGCTCTCAAAAAGTACTTTGCTAGCCCAACCGCTTTTTACCATGCATTCAACGAGAACCTCGCTACGCTAAATTCTCGCGCACTGATACTGACAACCGCAAGTACAAAGACCGCGCAAACCGTCCATGGGCTAAGCATAGGAGCGGCTTCCTATACTCAGCGCTGGTTTTATGAACCTAGCGGTGGCCAGATATTGGTCAACCGACTCAACGAATCCGGTCCGACGTTATGCCGTGCAGACAAACAAGAACTTTATAAAAGGCGATGAGGATATGAAAGCCACCTGGAAATCAGTCAACAAGCCCTTCAGTCATTCGATATACCTTCTGCGGTACATCTTGGCGGAATTGACACTCTTGCAATTGGATTGCGGTCTCGAAGTATCAATTACCAAAGTAAGCTGTTTTTAACCGTGCATGAGACAAATCAACATTAACGCTAGGTCGTTTTCCTAGTCAGTTTCCGTTCATGTCGGGGAGTACATGCTCTTCCAGGGTTGTACATTCAAAGCGAACTAAATGCGTTTCACTAGTACTGCTCTCGCAACAGCTGCTACCCAAGGTGACAAGTCGAAGGGCGCCGCTGTCAACTGAGTTGGCAGATGACCCCTGCCGATTGCCACCTTGACCGTTTCCACGGTCATTCTGAAGACGATTCACCTTGATAGCTCAACTCGTGTACTGACGGTACGTATACTAACAATGATATGGCTCGTGTCTTACCTGATCGAGCAAGGATAAGAACGAGACGATGCCCATCATCAAACTGTCTACAATTTTCACCGCTTATCGAGCCGCGCTCCTCACCATATAAACGGGGCTACTCGCTCACTCCAATTTTCAGGTCCTCACCACTTGCAGTCATTCTCACAATGAAGCTCAACATCCTCGCTCTCGTCGGCATCGCCACCTTTGTCTCTGCCATTCCTGCAGAGGACATCGCTCTCAATATCACCGGTGGTCCTGTTCCAGACCATGGAGGCGGTTTTTCTGGGACATGCAGCTCGTGGGGAGGCTCGTACTCACAGCACGTCGCCGAGTTGCAAGCTACCTGCTATGACGATCATGGCGCGCAGGATACGACGTCGCTCGACCTAAACAACTGCATTGAAAACCACAATGGCAACCTTGGCTGTGCTTGGAAGTGCGTCTGGCTTTCTGTTCTCTAAGAATGCGCAAGCATTGACGGCGAGAAATGTTTCGCTAAAGCGGTCATTTCTTGGGATCGTGTAATGTAGAAAACTCGCTCGGAACCGGGAACACTGTGTTAAGTGTGTCCTGTGCCGACGGGCGAGGTGGAATGGTGTCGCGAAGTATTGACGTCAGTAAGTACTTTCTTTTTTGTCGTTGCCTCCTTCTTCGCTGCACAACTTATCGCTTTGCAGATGACTGCGTTTCGAACTCGAACGGAGGACTTTCTTGCCACTAGAGATGACATCTTATTGACAACTTGAAGACTTGAACCAAATGCATACATTTGATGCTCTATAAATGTGTCATATTCACGAGTTTGGGACACTGAGATGTGGCATAGCAAAGCATACGACGCGAAGCTCTGAAATCCGGCCATAGCACGCAATACATCAGTGATTACGTGTCCATAGTTATGCCCCTATGAAACCTGAGCCTATCTGATAGTCGCGTGCAGACGCAAATTACACAGGGGCGGTAACCCAGTCTCTGAGGTGGAGTACAATCCTTTCAGCCGACCGTATCACAGATGGTTCTTATGCGAACAGAGCACGCATAGAACCAGGCTTGCGTTTACTTTTGTTCTGCCTTAGCGAATTCCTTTTATGTGTCCGGCATTTATGCACATCGATAAAAGATACTGTGATTGCATTCAAGAAAGTCGGTGAAGGAACGCGCCATGACTCCGTGACCAGTGAAACAGCGCTATAGCGCGTTTGCATGGCATCACGTGATCGCGTCTAGCGTCCGGCAGACCGCCGCGCGTTCGCTGTTCAGTACTTCACATAAACGATGTTCGTGACCCTTGTTCGGCCACGTCTCGTGCGATACACTCAATGTGCAAGGAACAACCACTCTCTCTTCACGAGTCGCGGGGGGTTTCGCGATTGCTACGTTTCTCCACGACTCCTACGGCATCCTCATAGAACGTTTTCTTTCCACGGCCCCGTTTTATCCAGCAACGAGAACAAGCCAACTACGAAAAGCGGTTTTGGAGCTATCAAAGAAAACATTTACACGCTGCCGAACTTGCTGACAGCGTCGAGAATCCTCGCCTGTCCGGTGTTGGGATGGGTGATCATCCACGACGAGTTCGGCTTCGCGACTGCTCTGCTGGTGTACGCCGGTCTTACTGATATGGTCTGCTTGTCTCATCTGCCGTCTCTGATGCTCACGATCTGAGCTTGCCGCTCAAAGGTGGATGGCATCCTTGCCCGACGATACAAGATGTTCTCCGTCCTCGGCACCATCTTGGATCCGGCCGCAGACAAGGCTTTGATGACCACTCTCACCATAACTCTGGCCATAAAGGGCATGATACCAGGCGAGTTCGCTCATGATTCAAGATGTAGTGCTTGAGCTTGAGGATGGTCTCACTCGCAGTACCGCTGGCAGCGATCATTCTTGGCCGCGACGTCCTGCTCAGCTTGTCTGCGTTCTATATCCGCTACAAGACCCTTCCTCCTCCGGTAAACTTACATTCTGCGTAGTCCATGATGCATTCTCACGCGTTGTAGAAAACGTTTCGCCGATATTGGGACCTTTCTCTTCCTTCTGCCGAGGTACACCCCACTGCAATCAGCAAGGTACGATCACCGCATAGCCAACCCTTTGCCCCGCTGATGTCGAGACAGGTCAACACTCTTCTGCAACTGATGCTGATGACTGTCACGACTATAAGCCCATTGCTTCCATTCGACCTTGCTCCCGCTCTACAAGGGTTTCAGTAAGTCGCTCTGCAGCGTGAAGCTATGCTATGTTGATGTATCTGAATGGCACTAGATGGATCGTTGCAACGACGACTATATGGAGCGGGGCATCCTACCTCTTCTCGAAAAACGCAGTCCGCATTGTAGCCGCGAAACGGAAGCCACCTCCATAGTATGCGTATCGTATTTATCCAAGCCTGAAGTGAACGACAGCTCATGTACGGAAGAAAGCTTGTATACAAGTACAAGATGACGTGTTGTGAATAGTGAATGGTGAGATTGCTAGGCGGAATAATTTATGGTCCATGATGTCCATCAGTACCGGCTCTCCGTTGTCGAACTTCTTGCAAAGCAGCGTTGATTGCTTCTCTAGACGCGCACTGTTCACGCCATGTATCGCTTGCTCGCCTGGAAAGTAGCATATTCAACGAAAAGTCTCAACGATGACGCAGCAGGAAAGCCTACTTTGAACGAACCAAGAAAAGCACAGATATCAGGACGCTCTTGAGCTTTCGCCGCTTAGGCACGACCACAGGCAACTCTGCGGAGGGGAATCCGATCCTGGCTATTGCGGCCAGGATCTTCTGCTCGCTGTGGCCACGATGAGATTCGTATCACGGCAGAATCATTCAGCGTCGGACTTACTCTCGTTCAAAGCGAGCGAGCAGCACAAGCAGATAGTGCTTCTGGTACCCGAGATCAGAGCGTAGTGTTGACTCGCGCGTGAATTTGGCCTTCAGGTAATGTATTTGCACCAGCAATCCTTTGCACTCTTTGTTGTGCTGCGACTTCATAGTGGCCACTTGTTGCTCGTCACTGAGATGCAAATGCGGGTCAGTCTTACATCAAATACAAAATGAACGATCACTAACGCAGCGCAGACATGATTCCTTGACTGCTGGTCCACTATCTTGGCCTGTTCACGCCGGCTCTCCAGCTCCTCTTTCAACAGGCGAATCTGCGTCTGTGATTGCTTCTGAGCTCGTTCCGCCCTCAGTTGCTCATGCTTCTTCTCTTCCTCCAAGCGCTCTTTCTGGGCACGAAGCAGTTGGAGGTCGCGACCAAACTCCTCTGCATTCTTCTTGACTCTCTGCAGATCGGCTTCTAGCTCTGCTACAGAGCGCGCGACATCGCTCTTCTCTGCGGCAATACGCTTCTTCTCAGATTCCGCACGTTGCAGCTCATCTGCCTGAGCCGACAAAGCCTGCTTCAACTCCTCGATCTCGAGTAGGCGAAGGTCCAGTTGATGCCGGCGCTCGTCGTGCGTAGTCTGCGACGCGGCGTGCTCCTCGCGAAGCTTCTTGGCGTGCTGTTGCGCGAACTGAGTATGACAATCACGGATCGAGCGGTTGGCAGGCTCACCTCAGAGACTTCGGAGTAATGTTGCTGCAACTGCTTGAAGTCAGCCATGAGAAGAGATCTCTCTTGTCGCAATTGCTCTATGATCTCGGCATTCTGGGCTACCTTCTTCTGAAGCATGTCAGCCTTCTGCGTAATTGCACCGGCTATGGGGAAATTAGGGCAGTGCATCTGTGACGGACAATTGACGTACAGCGTATCTTTGTCTCCAAATCCTGATTCTCCTGCTTGAGACGCTGGAGGTGAATCCTCACATCTGCCATATCCTATGCTACGTTAATGTATGGCTCCCATAGGCACAAACAGACGTCTTACAGATTCCGCACGGCGTAGTTGCAGAACAATCTCCTCCTTCTCTCGCTCAATGCGGGATTGCTCGGCCGTCATGGTCCTGAGGCGCGAACGTTCAGCCTTCAGCTCGTTCTCAAGCTCATCAATGGTCCGTTTTGCTTTGTCCAGTTCCTATCAGCATGTCAGATCGCTGTCAATCCAACTCATGAACAGAACAGACCCCTTGAATGCCAGCGCGGGATTTCTCGTTCTGCTGTTTTGTGTCGCGTATCTGCGCATTCATGCGATTCGCGGCGTCTTGTAAGACAGCGTTTTCCCCGACCAGTTGACGCCTTTCTTCATCCCAGGCTGCTCTCATTGCAGCTAATTGGGCATTGACCTGCTGCAAGTTCGCACGAAGGGCTTCACTGGTCCTGGTTGGAGGTGTAGGAGGATCTGACGGCAAGTCCATGTCCGCTTCTTCGACTTGCGAGCTGGTGGAACGGGACGGTCAACAAACTTTCACCGTACAAATGATCAATAGCGTGCCTTTCGTTGCCATCGGCAGCGCGATGCAGCCCACGCAAATCGATCTTGCTGCGACATTTCCGGCATCGTGCTTTCTGGAGTCGCCGATACTGCCTCTCTTCCCTTCTCGTGAGCCTGCCAACTTCGTCTTCAAGCGCTTCTATCTTGCGACGAGCATCTTCCAATTGCTCAGTGAGACCAATGACGCCCAGCCCTGCATCCTCAAGCTTGTCGAGTTTGTCATCGATGCTCTCGTTTGCCTGGTCAAGTTCTTGCTGTAGCCTAGCAATTTCGGCCACCAGAGGAGAAATCGTCGGGTCATTCATTGTATTCTGCAACCAAGAAAGCTGCAAGTACTCTTTCAGAACGACACCCGCACATCAGCAATGCAGTAACTCACATCGCGTAGCGGCCCTCCGGGGGTCTTGGGACTGCGCATAGACATGGAGAGAAGTTGCCTTTGCATAGGCGACAGACCGTTGACGTTGAGTGTTTTACCCGGAGTGCCATACATGCTGTGATTGCTCTTCAGGGACCTTAGCCTCTCTAGGAGATCTTCCTTTTCCTTCTCGAGCAGCTCGATCCTTGCATCCTTCGCCTTGTCAATAGCCTTTCGCGCGGGAGACTGTCCGATCAAAGTATTCAACCGGGCAATCTCTTTGTGGGCGTCGTTCAACTCGATTTCGAGCGCTTCAATCTCAGCGTGTAGATCCATGGAATCGTCATTTCCTGGAGGTTGCGACCTGGACTTCGATCGCTCCTGCTCCCTCTCGATAGAACGCCCCGCCGAGGTAAGTTGTGCTTTCAGCTGTGCGACCTCCTGTTCGTCAGCGAGCATTCTGTCCTCTGCAGCTTCCAAGGCCTCTTCCATTTGTCGCGCAAGTTCAGCAGCTTTGTTTGCTTCGTCGGATAGTCTGTCTATCTCTTCCTTGTCTTGCCTGGAGTCTTCAACCATGATCGCAACCTCCTCCTGGGCAGCAGCACACTGAACCTCCAGAGTTTCGATCCGCTCAACTGCTGCGCCTGCGTCCGCATCAAGCTGCGAGATGTAGTCGCGGGCTTCCCGCAGGGCTGCTTCTGTCTTTTGCAAATTGTCCTCGAGCGCCACGTTCTCTTGTAGCGACTCCTCCAGTTCAGCGGATTTAGCCTGCAGCCCATTCTGCAATTCGATATTGCGGTCCTGTTCCTGCCGGAGGGTCTTCTCAAGGTCATCGATCTTGTCGTCCGCTCGCATGACTTCATCCTCGAGCGCTTTGATCTGCTCATTGGTACTCCTCAGTTCTTGCATGGCTTGGGAGAGACGCTCGTTGCTCGCGTTCAGGTCTGCTCCAAGATCATTTCCGCTTTGCAGAGCATGCTCCGCCTTTGCGACCCTCTCCTTCATTGACTCATTAGATGCAAGCGCGGCCGTTAGACGCCTTTCTAGGTCCTCGGCATCTTTCGCTCGCGACTTCTCGCTCACCTGTAAAGCTTGCTTGGCCTGCGCCAGTTGTTGTTCCAGGTCCTGGACGATCGCAGACACGCCTTGCTCGACTTCTCCCATGCGCTCCCGCCACAGCTCCTTGTCCCGAGATCTGTCGTTCCTCTCTTGCTCCAGCGTAGCCTCCGCTTTCTCCTTGTCCATCATACACCGCTGCACATCGCCCTTCAGCTGCTCCACCAGGTCTTCCAGCATCGCTTTCTCCTCAACCCACCCTTCTGCCACGTCTTCGACAACGTCTTCCAGGGATTCACTAGGACCAACGCTCACCCGCCGGCCTCCTCCGCTTTGCCTCCTTCTATGCGCCGAGTCTGCACGGGTTCGATTGGACACCCCACCTTCCTCAACATCGACTTCGCCATAGAGCTCCTCGTACCGGGTCACCTTCAGGACCAGCACCTCGTATGTCTGCATCTTGATCACTAGCAGTTCTACTTCTTCCTCTAAAGCCCTGACTTTGATCACAAGCATCTCATTCTCTTCCTCCAACTTTCGGTTGAGCCCATGCAAATAGTTGTTCAGCTTCGAGGCATTGAACCGGCCAACGCCATGTCCCCGCTCGCCAAGGCCGACCACGGGATCGAAAGATGCGTTCGCACGCGCATGTGTCGTCAGATCATGAGACGAACCAGTGGATGCAATAGACATGCGATCCATCTCATACGGTGACTGCCCAGGCGAGGCGGACCCGGCCGCTTCTGAACCAGACATAGAATCGACCTCCGAGGGAGCCCAGCCTTGCGCCAGCGGGTGAGAGAGCCTGCGACGAACTTGAGGGCGCCGTGTCACATTCACGAAGGCAGCTTCCAGATTAACACCTGGAGTCAACGGCGAAACATTCTGTTGACCTCCGCGTTGCGGGTGCGGTGTGTATCTCGGACGAGGTCTCGCGGTGGAGTTGATGACGGAAAGCAGGAAAGAGCGCTTGTGAGCGTGAGGTGTAGCTGGGTCTTCTTTTGCATCGAACCCTTGGTTACTTTCACCGAGGAACCTCACAGCTTGGCCGGACTGCGGAAGTGCCTGCAATTGCATCCGAGACGAAGATGCAGGCTGTCCTGTGGCGAAGCGCGCCCGGGGCCGTGGCTGAAAGACCGGTGTGGGCGTGAACATGACTGAAGGAGCGGGTGATGAGGGGGGAAGAGAAAACACTGGCGGTGATGGCATCGCGCGTCTTTCCTGTTGGTCAATGTCAGAAGAGAACGTTGGTTCCCGGGGCTCATCTTGCGTCGCCTCGGTGACATCTTGCTCCTGCGTTACTTGTTCTGCCAATTCCATTGGATCGTGTGATCTCGCATCCTCCAAATTACCGCTATGTCCGTCGCTCCCTCTTAACTCGGTTGCGCTACCTTCGTAGTCTTCGCCGACGGCAGGAGAGGCATTGTGGGAGGGCGGCAAAGGGACAGCTACAGCATCAAAGGAGGAGTTCGCCGTAGATCGCGCATACACGGCAGATCGATTGCTGCGAGGTGTAGAATGCGAAGATGACGATGATGGCGATGGAGTAGCGTTCGTCAGTGATGGAGTACGCGTGCGTGACTGTGGACGTCGTAACGAGACATGACGCGTCTTGTCAAAGGGTGACGGCTTCCCTGGCGTCAACATAGGCATAGGCAAACCAATACTCTCGACATACCTTCCTCTCGGAGCGTAGGCTCACTGAATAATCATAGTTCTTCCGGGGAGTATGCTCTTCTTGTAGTTCTTGGATGCTCAGCGAGTGAAGAGCACCTGACACGCTCAAACTACCGTCAGGATCCCTTGTTCCATCTTCGATTGCAGGCTCACGACGGCCATTCAGAACAGAACCGCCTTCAGTGTCCTGATCACTGCTTTGAATATCCACGTCTGCCCCAAGTGCCGATCGAATGTCTGGGAGACTCGGAATAGAACTAACATCGAAGGTCTCGTCCCGAACCTGCCTCGCGCTGCCCCCATGCGCTGTGGATAGCACGGACTTCGCGGATCGCGATTGAATCGAATGAGCGAATCGCAGAGTGCTTGAGTTACTTGATGGAGCGCGCGCCGTGGTCACTGTGTGAGCAGATAACGGAGCTGGGGTTGAATGGACTGGTAAGAAATCTTGATTGCCATTGACGGACTCGTCATTCGATTCGGATTCCGCACCCGGTTCTGCAGAATCATCGAATCCAGGTAGGGAGGGGAGCGATGGCATATCTCTTCCTTCGACAGCTTGTATCCGCCTCCAGACACGCGATGGCGTCTCCAGTAGGGCAGCCATGACGCCTTTCACGTCCTGGTGGAATATAATGCCAGATCTATGGCAAAACTCGTCATCTCACACGACTCAGGAGAAAGCTGCCCCTTCGGTAACAAAAAGGTGAAAGCTCACCAGCTTTTGAACAGCTTGATATCTATCGCACGATGAGCTTTAGGGACAGGTCAGAGTACGAAGGTGTGGCCAAGGTATGGCGGGCGAGACGCCGAGTGGCCGTTCAAACGACAGCAGACACGCGACGCGACGCGAACTGGTTGGACGCACGTGACCGGATCCAGGCTAGCGCTCACAGTGTATGTTCCCTGCTTACTTCGAGCTTGGAGTTGGATGGCAGCTCTTCGTCCCGTTTTCAACGCCGCCACGCTTATATGCTATGCCTTGGGGCCTCTGCGGCAATTGCCTCCAAGTGCCGCCACGAAACGCACTCATTTCAACGAGTTGACTATTATCGCATTCGCCACGATCTCAGCAACTTCAACGGCCAATACAATTGCAATCGATGAACCTATGTCCTATACCGCACAGTCGACACCCAACAATATGTCGGACGGTGTGTATCTACGGCGCAGATCGCACCTAGTCATGTAAACTCGTTCTAAAGACCGTCTTGGCGTCTGCTGATCAGAACTTGATCTCCAATTCCACCTGCTCAACAGTGGGCTTTAATCGCATGAATTCCGGACGATTCATCGGCCCTTACCTGCGACGTTGCCTTATCTACTTCAGCCGCGTAATGGGAGATGAAGCCCAGCATGTCCCAGGGACCTTTGTTCTTGCAAGTATTACATGCAGAAGCTGCTATCAGAGCGTTTACCACCGCCGGTTGGCTGTAGGTGATCGCTTCCCCACTAGGAGTGGAGTCGGTGACAGCCTTCAACATGGGCAGTGAATTCTTCCACCAGGCTCTAATGTTGCCTATACCATCCCACTCCAATGCACAATCTACACCGTGAGAAGTCCGACCGAACCAGATATACTTGGGGTTCAGATTGCGTACCCACGAGTAATCAGAACTGAGACATGCTGCGGCAGCGCTGCACTTCTCGTGGTAGTCGAGGATTCGGTAATAGGCTCCGCCGGTGATATCTTCCAGTTCGGGGACATATTTATCGCGAAGCGGAATGGCTAACGAGCACTTTGCGGCGAATCTCGCTTCCTCCTCGAGGCCGAACTGCAGCGCGAGAGCGTAAACTCGAAGAGGCACCGTCTTCGCCAGCTTTCGCATTTGGATGCAGACCATCTGGACGACGTCGTCCATCAGATATTTTCGCGCCGCTTTCAGGACACTGCTCAGCTGGTTGACATCGTCAAGGTCGGGAGGGGATATGGGGTAGCACAACCGCAATAATCTGTCGAGTGTCTCGTTGTCTTCTTCCATCGGGATGATGGGCAGGTTGTACTTCTTGTCAGACCACCCGGATCCGGCGGACTCTCCTTCAGTGACCTGGGGCAAGCGGAACATGTCCTCGAAGAAAGCGGAGGCTTCGATCAAAATGGCCTTCCGCACATGGAAGTCCATCATATCCTTGGAACGGAGGACCACATCTGCGGTCGACTTGTTGAATGGCGCAGGAGCGTCGGTTAGGTGAGGACTGCGAGGACAGGGGCCAGAAGAACTGGGAGCCGATTGCGCTGGAGACTCTGCTGATGTTTCCTGCGACACTGTCGGGAAAAGCGGGTTTCGACTCATCAGCGCGAGAACATCTTCAGGGAAGTCCGACCCCAACATACTCGTATGCCCGAGTCTTGGTACGGCTGAAGGAAGCTGTTGGAAACCGCCAATCTCTCTGAGCCTTTATAGCGACAAAGCCGCTCCACGCCCAGGGGTTAGCGCGTGACAGTGTCACTAGTCACGTCCGTGTTATCCTCGTTGTGTCTTAACAGAACATAGACTCAAATTGTCCCCCTGTTTGATCACTTACTTGAAGGCAACAGCTTGCCAGACGTCCGCGCAGCTTGCAGGTCTTGCTTACATGTGGCCAAATCATGGATCGCACTGTTACCCTCCCTGTCTCGACAATATCAATTAGTTAGGCAGTGTCATGAAAGCGTCTCAAAAGTATCCGAGAGCGCCATTCAGTCAAACTACGTGATGACAATGAGTCGATAAGATACCCTAGAAGGCAAGGTTTCATATTAGTTGTAATGGTCGGCATTTGTAAGTGCTTCGATTGATTGATAGTGTGGCATACGCACAACCGAGCAGAGACCCATGCCTTCATTGCTGTGCCTTTCCTAGGATGTCCGATAGGAAGGGCTGCGACTGCGGGGCACCATTGACGGCTATGAACAGGATAATGAGCAGAATGTCAGAGCATTGTACCGCCAAGTGCCCAATTAACAAGCTGTACAGGAGCGTGTCAAAAGCAGAATGCATCTGGAAACCAGATTGATGGATAGAGCCTGCAGCAAGCCTTACTACGCCCCGCTAGATGGCCATAATGACTCTTCAATCAGCTTATTCCGCGGACGGAAGACACAAGAGGGCTTGTGTCAGCAGGTTAGTCGTCAGCACAGATCTGGTGCAGCGTGTCCTCCGTCACGGCATGTATGAACATCCAGAAGCACTATAAATTCAGAAATGATGAATAGCAAAGACATGGAGGAGAGATGAATTTGGCCAAGCGATTCTCTGCAGTCGGTGCACTGTCACTGCCTGTGACAAGTCGCGAAATGTTTACGTGATAAACTCACGGAATGCAAGTTTTCCTCTGCTCATACTCTGCTTTTGTCACTGTATGACGAGCTTAATCTGAAGAGCGTTGAATCAGCATCCTATTACACAACACCAGAAGCCAACCTACTGAAGCCACAACACGATCCACCTCGGCCGCGAACTCTTCCATAAAGGCTCGAAGCTCTTTCCCAGCTCGCGCTCTGCAGACAGAGCAAGCAGCTGCTTCTGTCAGCGCCTGATCACACCATTCCGGAGCAGAGATTGCCATGCTGCTGGGTCTCTTTCAGCAAGTCTGCAGAGCGCTCCATGTGCTGCAACCACCAAGTCCGGGGTGTCCGCAGTTCGTTCGATTTGAGGTACCATCGCATAGAAGCTCCTGGGCAGCTGGTACATTCAAACCACACCCAATCGTCACTTGAATCGATCCAACGAAACTTCTTGGCTAGGCCACTGGCTGCCTCGCCACACTTCGCGTGATAATTGAGAAGCCGGATATACGCAGATGCGCTGATATTGTCGAACTCAGGCAGGGGGACATGCTCCATTTCTTCATCTAGGTAGTACCTAGCGGCTTCCACGGCTTCCGAAGTGAGATGGAAGTGGACGGCAACTGCATATGCCTTGAGGGGTGCTGTCTTCGCATACGACCTCAGCCTACTGGCTAAGAAATTGATCGCGCAGTCCATGTCATACTTCCTGGCAGCGTCCAGGAGCGGCGCGATCTCGTCCATGTCGATATCCGGATCACAGACGGGGTAACATATGCGCAGCAGCTTTTCGAGTGTATTCCTGTCTTCTGTCATCGAAATGACAGGTACGCCATCCCGTTGTTCATCGCTAGCCTCCTGTAGTCGAGGCAGAGAGAACATGCTCTCGAAAAAGGCAGATGCCTCCCCGATGATTGCTTTCTTGACGCGGAAGTCCGTGCCATCCGAGGATCGTATAATGACGTCGGCGGTGGACTTGTTGAATGGAGCGGGAGCATCAGCAAGTACTACAGTGTCCGCTGGCTTGCTGGCAGGCTCTGTCTGCACGGCATCCACTTTGATGTCATCCACTGCCGGCGCATTCATTAGCCTCTATCTGTTAGTCGAATATATCGAAAACACTTGCTGAATGGAACTATTACGATTCGCGGAAGAATTGGTTTCGACGAGATGAATACAACAGCTGTCCGCAGCGTCGAGAGCAGGTGCTCTGAGTCCCGCAGAGAGCGCGCACGCGTATATCTATGATCGTGTCAACCAACTCTTGACAAAAGACGTGAGAACGTAGAATCCATCGATTTATCACGTGCAAGTCGACGCGAGGGACGCCGTGGCAGGTGGTGATAGCTGGCACTTAGTTTCTCCGAGTTTGCCGTTAGAAATCGACCAGTGCATCGACTGACACAATTGAAACATAAGCGCAGCACAAGTATCAAGAGGCTAAAAGCCCGTGTATCGTACATTCACAAGCTAACCTAGTAACAAATGCGGTAGTCCAAACACATCATAGCTTAACCTTCACCATGACCTTCGCTGCGCCTGCCTGGAGGACTTCGAGCCGCTACTTCATCAACCATCTCCTCGACGACAACCTTCGCGAGGAGGACATCCTTGATGAAGCTGGTCACTCGGCCAGATGAAAATATGATGGCCTCTCCATTCTTATAAGAATATTAATCATGTCGGCA